TGTGGTCCAGCCAAGTTGACACACAACCCCAACTATCACACATGGTGGTGATGGTTGCACACCAGGGTGAACACAACTAATGCCACTGAATTGTACATGTAAAAATGTTGAAATGGCAATTAAAAATAAAATGAGATATAGTCTTGCCATAATAAAAAAAGAAGAAGAAAAAGACTAGGATCTTTGAGGTGCCAGTCATTTTCTGGTCTCCTTTCCCCATTCTAAATAAGTATTCACTTGTACCTAAATTTATATCTATTATTGTTTTATTCTTTTTCTCAGAGGGTCCACCAAATTGTACAGGTTCCAGGATCCACAGAAGCTGGAGAGTCATGAGTGGAGTATGTGTTACTGGGTGTCTTCATGTTGTCCCTTGATGGCCTATGCCAGATTGTGGAAGTGGGAGAATGCCTGGAAAGAGGAGCCCAGAGGTAGACATACGGGACACAGATAACCAAGGCTGCTTTATTTGGTGGGCTCATAAGGAGATAAACCAGTGGAAGGTGATGGTGGTGTTAGATGCTATTGAGTTGCTCTGATTCATACATCAAATTTTGCCTATCCTCACAATTGTTGCTATGTTTGAACCCATTATAGCAGCCACTGTGCCAATCCATATCACTGAGTTTCTTCCTCTTTTATGCTTCTGAGCCACTAGTTTGCCAAGCATCATGTCCTTCTCCAGGGGCTGGCTCCTCCTGATAACATGCCCAAGGAAGTGAGATGAAGTCTCACCATCCTCACATCTAAGGAGCATTCTGGTTGTACTTCCTCTAAGACTGATTTGTTTACTCTTTTAGTAATCCAGAATTCAATATTCTTTACCAACACCATAATTCAAATGCATCAATTCTTCTTTGGTCTTCCTTATTAATGTCCAGCTTTCACATACATATGTGGTGATTGAAAAGACCATGGCTTGGGCTAGGTGCACCTTAGTCCTCAAAGTGACATCTTTGCTTTTTAATACTTTAAAGAGGTCTTCTGCAGAATATTTGCCCAATGCAATGCTTCCTTTAATTTCTTAACTGCTGCTTCCATGGGCATTGATTGTAGATACAAGTAAAATGAAATCTTTGACAATTTCAATATTTTCTCCATCTATCATGATGTTGCTTATTGGTCGAGTTGTGAGGATTTTTGTTTTCTTTATATTGAGGTGTATCCAGACTGAATATTATGTAGTATTTGATCTTTATTAGTAAGGTGATGAGGTGACTATTCTGTCCTTTTCCCTCCTTCCTCTGGTGTGGAGAAAATTGGAGGAAAATACCCCCTGCCATTGACTCGATTTCAACTCATAGTGATCCTACAGGGCAGAGTAGAACTGCCTCATAGGTTTTCCAAGGCTGTAATCTTTACAGAAGCAGAATGCCCATCTTTCTCCCACAAGAGCAGCTTGGGTTTGAACTGCTGACCTTTTGATTAGCAGCTGAATGCTTTAGCCACTGCACACCAGAGCTCCTTGGAGAAAAATAAGAGGGAGAAGGCAAGTCATACTAGAGACACAAGGTGACAGCAGGAGTCTCAGTAAGTGAGAGAAGTAGTGTAGGAGAAAGACAGAGGATGGTATGATGTGTCCAAAGAACTCTTAAAACTAGCCTTCCGAGGATCTCTTGAAACACAAAGGAAGAATTTGAGGCTAGGTTGTTGCAATAATACTTGCTGGTAGAGACTGGTCAAAGATTGCATCTGAGATCTAAACTTCTCAATTATACTTGGGGGCAATGCCAAGGGTTGTCTTAGGGGAAATTTTGCAGCCCCCTGTAATCTCCACAGATCTCTGGGTGGCACGAACAATTTGCACTTGACTACTCACCAAAAAGTTGATGGTTCCAACCCAAACAACAATGCTGTGAAAGAAAGTCCTGGTAATTTTCTTCTGCAACATTTATAGGCAAGAAAACTCTGTGGAGCAGTCCTACCCTGTAACACGTAGTTGTTGCACGAGTGGGAATCAATTTGACAGCAATTTTTTTGGGGCTGGGGTGAGGTAGGTCTAATCTTCATGGGTGTTCCTAGGTGGTGCACAGGTTAATGGGCTCAGTTGCTAACTGGAAGACTGGTGGTTCGAGTTCCCCTAGAGGTATCTCAGAAGAAAGGTGCAGTGATCTACTTCAGAAGAACCAGCCATTGAAAACTCTACCAAGAGCACTTCTACTCTGATACAAGGGGTCGACTCAATAGCCACTGGTGGTTTATAATTTCTGTCACCCTCATTTGAATCTAAGTATTTAAGAAGGATATGTACTATGCAAATACAACTTTAAAACAAGGTTCCTAACCTGCCACTTCTATCAGACCACAGTCTCTCAGTCCTTCTTACACAGAAATCTCTTGTCTTCTTTCTGTCCACTCTCAGCCAGGAATCTGGGATGGCGTCATGGAAAAGTTTTCCACAAGATGGCACTCATAGTTTTGTTTTTCCTTTGTCAGGCTGATTCATTCATTCCTTTGACAGTATTTTATTGAATGACTACTCTGTGCTTCTACTGTTTCTAGGAGGTCCTGGGGATCCAGCCTGAATGAGACAGATGAAGTTCTTGTATTAAGGTTGTGATTTTTATATTTTCTGAGGCAAAATTGAACCATAATGCAAGTTTCTTCATTTATGTTGCTGGTATAATGTAGTTTTGATAGTTTTGGTACTTTTCTGACAGTTGTACATTTTTTTTCCCCCTTTCTTTAGACTCTGGTATTGCCTGGGGGAACTAAAGCCACTTTGACTATTTGGTGGAAGAAGTGACTCGCTTGGCATTTGACTGCTAACCAGAAGGCTGGTGGTTCAAATCCACCAGCCACTCCTCGGAAGGAAGGTTGGGCAATCTACTTCCATAGTGATACTGCCTCGGAAACCTAAGGAGGGGTCACTATGAGTCAGATCCTACTCAACGGCAGTGAATTTTTTTAAATCTATTTCTGTAAGCCACCGTCTGCAATCTGCCCTTTCATTGAGAAAACACCTGATCTTAACTGGATAATTCCAAAGGGTTTCTATGCATTAGTTCAACCTTTGGGTCTCAGCTTGGGAGCCCTGCCCATTTGAGTATATTCACAGTTCCTATAAAGATAAATTCTGTCAGATCTTTCAGGTATTTCAGTGACCTGCCTCCAAGTAAGGGTGAGAAGGGCCTTGATCTCTGTGAGATCAAGCAGAATGCCAACCCTGCCACCTGATCATCTGCCCCAGAGAATAGCTACAATCACAGAGCTCATTCTTGCCAAAGGCAAGAAGTCACAGTTGAAAGCAAGGCTAGAGTCTTGGTGAAATGCCCATTCCTCCAGCTTCAGTAAACCCCCTCCTTGTACCATGTTAGTTTCCTGAAGGCAACATCTTTTAGAACATTGACTATATTCATTTGGCTGCCTCCCAAAATGTCTTCACTTAGCCATGATTGAAAACTAGGTATGCCCTTGATTTTTATTGCAGGCTGATATAAAAATGATCATAAAATAAACGTTTCTGTATTTTTGGCCAAAATAACTGTTAAACACTTTGTCCATTATACCATTCTATATCCTTCAAGTAAGGGTTCACTAGGAGTCCAGAGTCATCACTAACCACCCCCTTCACATTTCCACTTGGATGACCCATTGTTGTTGTTAGCTGCCATCGAGTCAGCCCTGACTCACAGGAATACCTTGTGCAACAGAATAAAGCACTACCTGGTCTGGCACAGTGGCGTGATGGGTTGCAGACTGGACCATTGTGATCCATAGGGTTTTCATTAGCTGAGTTTTAGAAGATCACCAGGTCTTTCTTCCTAATCTGTTTCAGGAACTAAAGAAGTCCCAGTGAAACTTGCATCCTAGCAACATTCAAGTCCCACTGATAGGCAAGGGGTAGCAATATATTAGGTACATTGGCTGGAAATCCAACTCAGGTCTTTGGATAGAATTCTACCACTGAAACACCACCATCCCTGGATGCTCAATAGACACATCAAATTTAACATGTCCAAGAGTGGATGAAATAAGCCAAGGTATAGTTAAACATAACATACATGAGGAATGCTAGTAAACAGCAGCAGCAGAAACATCTGTATCAACAGTGAAGCCAGTAGAGACTATATTGGACTGGAGTCAAGGGGAACCCCACTCTCTTAGGAAGACCTGTCCAAACTCTTTAAACCATCCCAGTCCCCTTCCAGGATAGATCTGCCACTTATTGCAGGTCAGATTAACTCTTCTTGACAGAACATCAGGAACTCTAGTGGCATAGTGGTTAAAGTGTTTGGCTGCTAACTGTAAAGGTTGGTAGTTCAAACCCACCAGCCACTCCACAGGAGAAATATGGAGCAGTCTGCTTCTGTAAAGCTTTACAGTCTTAGAAACTCTATGAGACAGTTCTGCTTTGTCTTACAGGGTCCCATGAGTTGGAATTGACTTGAAGGCAGTGGGTTTGGTTTGCTCAAACATCAAGGAATTCACTGCCTAAACTGCTCATGGCCCAGGCTCTTCAAGAATGTATTAATTAAGAAAAGAAGTTCCCAGAAAAAAAGTTAACATGGACTCTTGAGATCACATTGGGGCAACTCTTTTTTTTTTATTTTTTTGGCCTACAATTTTTTAATTTTTTAATGTGATTTGGGTGAAAATTTACAGAGTAAATTCATTTTCCATACGGCAGTTCACATACACTTTGTCTCATGACATTGACTACAATTTACCACAATGCAACAGCTCCTCTCCCACTTCCTCCTGATAGTTACCTCTTCCTTGCGTCCATCCCTCCGTGCACTCCTGCCCCCTGAGCTGTCTCCCTGTGCATAAACAGCCCTTCTTTCTCCCATGATTGTTCTCTCTAAGGAGTGTATTTACCTCAGGTAAATGTTCAACTCATATGCCTGTCTTTTGTTTGGCTGTAAGCCATAGGTGTAGGTTTAATACCAGACCTGAAGGGAAGCTAGGGGTCATAGTCTCAGTGGTTCCACCAGGCTCTATCAGACCAGTGAACCTGGTCACATTGGGGCAACTCTTGGAAGAAATAGCTTACGTACCAAAAAGCACAGAGAATTCCTTTAATATCATTGCCTTCTTTGGCTATCATATTGTCTTCAAGCTGAAAGAAAATGAAACTTGTTTTAATAAAAATAACAAAAAAATTTGACATTTCCAAAACCAAATTCCTGCTTTTCCCCACACAATCTGCTCCTCCGTCACTTAGTCTTCCCCAACTTAGTAAATAACAGCTTCACTGCTCAGGTGAAGAAACCAGGACTACTCTTGGTACTTCTCTTATTCCCACACCTCACATGTAATCTCTTATCAAATTCTATGGCTCTACCTTCAACATGCACCCAGAATCTGATTGTTGCTCACCACCTTCTCTTGTCTGGAGAATTTCGCATGCTTCCTTATTGGTCTCTCAACTTCTACCTTTGCTCCCTTCCACTTACTCTTGACATAGCAATAAGACAGATCCTTTAAAATAAAAGTCACTCTTCTCTGAACCAAAAAATAGCTTTCTAAATTAGTAAAGTATGTAAGTATGTCTGCATTGAGCATTGTACTTTTTTCAAAATCGTGATTTGACTGCTAACCGGAAGGCTGGCGGTTCAAACCCACCAGCCATTCCTCGGAAGGAAGGTTAGGCAATCTACTTCCATAGTGATACTGCCTCGGAAACCCAAGGAGGGGTTGCTATGAGTCAGATCTGACTTGATGTTACATAACAACAACAATAGCAACAATTGTTATTTGGGTGAAAGTTTACAGAGCAAATTCATTTTCCATACAGCAGTTCATACACATTTTGCTTCATGACATTGACTGCAATTCCCCACTATGTAATAGCTCTCTTTCCACTTCTTCCCTGTGTCCTTCCCTCCGATGCACTTCTACCCACCCCCCAGCTGTCTCCCTGGGCAAAACACTGCTTTTCTGTTCTCCCATGATTGATCACTCTGCATTGTGTTCTTTTAAAGAATTATCTACGGAAGATCAGATTGACAATGACAGAAAAGTTGGATGGGAAGCATAGGGGACAGTGAGTTTAAGATAATGGTAGTGGAATAATTTGGAAAAGGACCATGAAAATGGTAGCACAACTTGAAAAATATAATCAATGCCACAGAACTGTGTATGTAGAAATCGTTGAAATGACTGTTTAGACTTTCACCAAAATTAAAAACTTAAAGATATAATAAAAAATAAAATAAAAAAAAAATTAAATTGTAATTTTAAAATTAAAAAAATATGTAAGTCAGGTCATGTCATTCCCCCACTCAAAATCTCCCCATGACTTTCAATATTATTGGGATAAAAAAAAACAAGAACTCCTGGTCCTACCACTCCCTTCCCCTCCCCCACCTCTGATTGGATCTCCTAGGAATCTGCTTGTCTTTCAAGTCACCAGAGCTATTGTTTCCCAATTCTCCCTTCTCTGGGTCTGCACACTTGCTGGTACCTTTGCAAGAAGACTCCCAGATGCTCACGTGGTGCACTCCCTCACCTCCTTCAGGTGTCATCCTATTAAAATTAGTACCCTCTCTGAGCTCTCTCTGTTCTCTGTTCCAGCTTCATTTTTCCCTGTAGCACTTGTCACCATCTGACACACTCTGTATTTTATTTGTTCTCTGTCTTTCCACTGGAAGGTAAGTGCATGAGGACAGTTTTGTCTGTTTGTTTTCTTTTACTCACCGTTCTATCCCAGCACCTAGAACAGTGGCAGTAACATAGTAAATACTAAATAAATACTTACTGAATGTATGATTGCATTCTTTCTTTTTTTAATGTAATTTATTTCTGATGTTTTTGAGAATATACACAGCAGACTATACACCAATTCAACAGTTTCTACATGTACAATGCATGGAGAGTGATTCCATTCTTTGAGTTGTGTAACCATTCTTGCCCTCCTTTTTCAAATTGTTCCTTCGCTAATAACATAAACTCACTGCCACCTAAGTGCACAATTGCCTTCTTATAAAATTAACTGTCAAGAAGAAAACATGTCTTTCGTGTTAAAGTTATTTCCTTTGAGCAGGCAATATAATTGATGTTATATATCGTAACTCACTTTTTGGTTTTACTACCAGGTGATCCTAGTCATGGATCCTTTTCCTGTGTATGGCTTTTCAATGCTTTCATTTTTGACTTTTATTTAAAGCACTCTGTGCATATGCATATCCTCAGGTAGGACTCATGGAACTTTTAGGCTTCCAGTAAGTATTTGTCAAGTGAATGCATTGTGTACCATTTTAAGCCCTTTAGGAGGTAAGTGGGATATGACTAATACATTATGAATGGTCTATGGTATGATTGAAAATAATGGGCTAGAAAGGAACAGATGGTTGGTTACTAGAAAAGGAGAGGCTAGTGGAAAAGAGGCACTTACATGCCTGTATGATTTATCATCAGACTGGGACCCCATATCAGAGAAAGGGGAATTATAAATAGTTTTGCTGGGACAAAAGACATAAACTGGAATCGCTCCTGAAAAACTGGGGCAAACAGTCGCTTTAGCAATGACCATTACTGATCAGTAATAATTAAAATACATTCTCCTTTGGACTCACAGTCAAGAGTGAATTTAACCATGCTCATTAACACATCATGTCCAGGGTTTGTTAGCATATCAGAACAGGATTTGGAAATTCATCAGTTAGACTCAGGTTCAGAAAAGTTCTTAGGTGCTGTCTGGTTGATTCTGACTCATAGTGTCACCAGGTGACAGGGGAGAACTGCCTGCAGGGTTTTCTAGGCTGTGGTCTTTATGGAAGCAGATTGCCAGGTCTTTCTCCTGTGAAGCCGCTCAAGAGTCCAAACGTGTCAGTTAGCAGCCAAGCACCTAACCATTCTGTCACCAGGGCTCCTTTCAGAAAACTGGGTGCAGATAACTACTTCACCAAGGATCAGCAAAAGTATTATGGTGCTACTAGCACCTAATGAAGGAGCTCTGGTAGCATAGTGCCCAAGGCACTTGACTGCTAACCAGAAGGTTGGCAGTTCAAACCCACCAGCCACTCCTCAGAAGGAAGATGGGG